ATAAGTAAATATAACCCAGATTGCGTCGTGTTTGGTATAATTTTAATTAGAAAAATCCCACCAATATGTTTATAAAAGTTTCATCAATAAAGCACAGCAAATAAAAAAGTTTTATCGTTGCATTAGCATTGTCTCACCGACACCCGGGAATGTAACATTTTTGTGGACTCCCAATGTTCAGTCGTCAGCTCGTGAACGGGAAGCCGTCTCGGCGCGCTGCGGCAACAAAGTATGCGGTTGCCGAGTCCGCCCCCCCCCCCACCTTTCCGGTCACAGTGGTAGGGATGACGCCTAGACAATAATTGCATATCAACAAAGACTCAATAATCGTGAGGACTCCTTCAGTGTAAACATGAAATCATGCACAGAGTTCGGAATCAAAACGATTGTTTTCATAGTCATAACAAGATACAACTTGAAGAAAAGCAAACTTTTGAAGAAAGTAGCTTGAAAAAGGTCGCTGCTAGGATGCTATAGTTCAAACGTTCGTTTGGAATTCAATGCTATTAATACGTGCAGATATGTATTACGGAATATGTCTTTGTCCAAGCATTTCTAATACGAACAACGGAGTTTGGAATTCAGTTTCAAGCGCACTGATTGCTTTGTGAAGGACGAAGGAAACGGAACGTGACCCTAGACTGGCCTAGACAGTCGCATGTTAACAGGTACGCCCGATGAATTTTACTTGAAATTGGTTCAATTTCGTGAGGCTTCCTCTACTTGCGTTGGAATGCTTGCTATTGAAATCTATGACCCGCCTGCTGCATCTTTCTGGTATCGTGTACCAAAATTTTTTTTAAAAAATTCGAAGACCAATATTCCTTTTAAAACTATTTGATACGTTAGTAGTACCTGAAAGCATCAAGGCTGGTGGGAATGAATATCCATTGTAGTGGACAAAGACAATCAACAGAACCATTAACAGCTTTATTCAAGTTATTAAAGTTTACTTAATAATACAGATATTCTGCATGAAATCCTTTGAAATAATTATTATGGCAACCATACACAAGTTAACTTCATATTTTTCACAAAAAAAAAGAATGTTTTAGAATTGTATATTTTCAGTTTGCAATGTTGACCTATTTTTAATTCTACAAAAATGGATTTACGACCGATTCTTCTTCGTTTGTTATACCCTCATGATCTTTCAAAGCAATGTCTTCTAAAAAAATATAATTATTTTAAATACCATTACACGATTGAAAGCTGAATATTGCACACTAAAAGAATAATATGGAGTATTCGAGGACGTTCAGGGTCAACATCAAAATCAAGTTCATCTATTTCTGAATCATTTCCATTGCCAAGAAGTGATAAAAATTAATTAAGAACAGTCTCTCCATTTTTTAGGTTTTCAAAATAACGCATCTAGAAGCATACGTTTTATCAATAGATTTCTTTATAGAGATGCAGTGAAATTCAAATCATCCTGTCACGTTAAATATATCGTTAACAATTATAAACAACAGTCCTTATCTTGGAAAATCAACAATCTTGTTCTATTAGTACTATACAGGATGATTCATACATGTATGTCAACACTTCAAGGGTAAATCTACACACCGATATAAGTAAAAAACGTAATATAAGCATATGTCCTATGTACGTTAGTTTTTGAGTTATGGATGATTAAAGAAACTGTCCGGAGTGCACGATCTCAAGCCATTAGACTTATACTTTTGGGGCCATTTAAAAACTATTGTACATTCAACGCAAGTGAATAATGTGCACGATCTGCAAGAAAGAACATCAAATGAATTTGAGACTATTCGAAGAATACCTAATATTTTCTAGCGAGTGCGTCCCCCCCCTGGACGGAAAAACGTAAATTTTACCCCACCCTACGAGAAAAACATTGGATTTTGCACCCTCCTCCCTTTCCAGAGTTACAAAGTTTTTGCGTAATATTTAATATTGCAGTATAATTTGAAACACGACCAACGGCCTTTACTAACGATACGCATACATTTTCAACGATTTATCATTTTAAAAACAAAATAAAGTGTGTCTGACTACGTACAGCCTTCTTCACTGTGGCAGTCGATGTGTTAATATTTTTGTCCCCCCCTGACTGATAACCTAGCTACGCCCATGTGTGCAGTAGTATGTTAAGGCTCGAGTAGGGCACTTCGAACGTCTTTAATCATCCATAACTCGAAAACTAAGGTATATAGGACATACGTTCATATGACATTTTTTACTTGTTTTTTTTTTTCAAATTTCGTTTAACTGACTCAACAGCAATATGTTTGCTCACGATAAATAATGAACTAGTAGTCCCAGTAACACCGTTTTTCTAATCTTTGAATGTCATTAACAGAAGTTTCGTACTGCCGATCGACAAGAAAGGTTCCCAGATAGTGACAATGAAGTGATAATAAGGTGATAAAATAAGTGCCTATTGTAGTAGACGGATGCAGTTAGCGAAATAATGTAATGTACAAAATCTACTGTATTTTAAGAAGGGAGAGTACATTATTGTTTAAGCCAACATATGTTATAATGGTACTCATTGTAAGTAGTTTGAACGAAACATAGTCATTTGTATTTTCATACTACACACTAGTAATTTAGTTTATAATTAGTCCTTATATCGATATCTAAAATTTTCTGAATGATTGAATAACCAGGTACCCGGGTACCCCAGCCAATCCTACTCAGGTAAATCAGACATAGAATAATCGTTGCACCCTCAGTTTCTGGACGTGCAATATCCCAACAACGAGATTCAACTGGAAAAACGAAAATAGTGGGACCTTGTTATATGTGTCACGATACTCCAACTAACTGATATATGTAGAAAAACGCGTAAGTGTTTGAGTGAGAGAACACATTTAGAAGGTGTAGAAGGTCTCAATTAGTATAAATGTATAAAAAACAAATTCCAATCAAGCATTTTGTATTCGGTATAATTTACTCATAATTTTTTCCCATACCTCTTCCTATTAATTTAGAAGCCATTCCACTGAACAACAGTTTTCGTTGTGTGGATACCCAGATACCTGCCTTATTTAACGAGCATATAAATAGGTTTGAGGTCTTCATACTTAAAACTTGCTGCTTATATTTTTGTTCTACAAATGTAAATCAATGTAAAATAATCCAAGGAATGAGATTTCAGAGCAATTTTAAGATGTTTCAACAGAAACATATACATAAAATTTTTAAACACTAGTTGAAAATTTGTACTCGGATACTCGGTTATAGACACAAGACTTGAATTAATTTGTAAAAAAACGAATTCCCATAAACATGTAGTAACAACTCTCATACTTTTCACCCTGCTTCTTAATCATAATAAACTGCTTGTTAGGAAATCCTTTTAGAATCCACACTACCTATCTGTGTTTCGGGCCTCGTCTTAACGCCTACCATAACGATTGCCTCGAAACTTTGATATTTCGCGGCGTAACGCGATGCTTCGTGTCTAGAAAATTTAGGTATATCATTCCCATCACTTCAGTGGTTCATTTTGGCAAACTAATTACTGCGGATGAAAGCGGCCAAGGTCGATATGTAGTTTTACTTCACAGAATTTCGTTAAAATAGTATCATAGGAACTTATGCTGTAGTGCAGCGATTTTCTAAAGTAATAGTAGCGCAAAGTATAGTTTGAAATAGGGATACTTATTTGTCACTCAATATAGTATAACTGTAACGAAACAAAGATTATAATTATTTATTTATGAATATTCTTATTCTAGAAACCCATTGTAAATTGTAGATTCATGATAATTCTACAAACTCTAGCCTTCGTTAGTTTGTGAAAACAACTCAAGAAATTCCATATGTTCTGCAATCATAATAGGGACAACAGTAACCTAAAAATATGGAAATAATCATTTACTTTCCACTAATTCTATAAAAAGTTTGCGTAATAGATATTCAGATAGAAGTTTTACTGTATTATATCTTTGATTGAACAGTTCCGTTTCTGTAATGCAACATATTGACATCTAATAGAAAAACATAGGATAAGTCCGGGAGAGATGGACCATTAGGAGAAACAGACCAGAATCGTATTTCTCAAACTATACATCAAAGGCTCCACCTGTTAGTATTGTTTTATTTTAATGGAAGTTATTCAGCGCGTCTATAAACCTGGCATCGAAGTTTCAACGGAAGAAAATTAGCATCTTAATTGTGGTAAGAGCTAGTTTTCAGTCAATTTTCTTATCTAGTCATAAAAAAGAGAATCATTCTGTTGTTTAAGCAGATGATTGCGCCATCTTTATAAACTGAGTTTCAATGACATGTATCGTAGATACAATTATAACCTCAGACAATAATGTTCAAAACAACCACAATGGCGCAAATAGGTATACTCGGTAGAGATGTACCGTCTGGTCTATCTCAATCATACTGTCTTAGTGTAATCGACATTATTTAAATTTTAACTAAACACAATTATAGACAAAACTTTTAGCCTTTACAAAGAGATTTCTTATCTAGCCAAGTTGCAAACGAAGATCTTTCGCTCGGTAAACTGCTAGACGTGATTTCACCAGTACTTGCCCTCAAACTAGTTAGTAACACTAGCTCAGTAATTATATTAATATACACAAGTTTATTGGTTCAATAAAAAAATTTTCTCGATAAAAATAATTGTTACAAATCAATTTACTGAAGGAATATACCATTTATAAGAGCGGACCATTTCACCCGTAGTGGTTAGGGAGAGGTGGGCCAAAGCCTAAAAATTTATTTTCTTTATTCTGCAACTATTTATAAAGATATTGCGTTCTACTAATTACATGTGTTAGAAAAGATTATCCACTATACAAACCATTGAATACAATATTCATTATTTCTAAAATATTCGATTTTCGGACATTAAAAAAAACGTGGTCCACCTCTACCGGACTTACCCTACAACTTGTTCGTTTTGCTCCAATAATAGAGTATTTACCATTCTTGTTTTTCTTACAAATTATAGATAATTGATTTCAATTCGTATTATAATATTTGTACAGGAAACTTCCTAGGGTACTCACTTCTAAGTGGCACGTGTCCATTTCGTAAGGGCGAAGACACCATTCTTTCGTTTCTCCGCTCGTTCCTGTCATCTTCTCTCTTCTCGCGTCCTTCCAACTGGGCGATTCGCCTCAGCGCGTCCGCAAGAGTAGCGCGAAGACAAACTATCTCGTCTCTTTGCGCCAAGGATTGCCTCTCGAGGTCTGCGACACGGCCCAACAGGGATCCGGTCTCGCACTCCAGCATCTCGTCTGCAAAAGGGAATTCTCGTTCAGCGTGTGAAACACAGGACATCCAATGACTCATGCAGCTTTATGGAATTGTTTCGCGCAGTATACATACGAAGGATGTTGTATAAATTCACACGGTCTATGAAATAGCCTTCCACAGTTCCATTTCAATTTTTAGTACTTTGGAATTCTTATCCGGTGATAGGTAAAGACAAATGATACACTAGTCACGCAAAATATTCCAAAACCGTGGATAAAATCAACTATCTACGGTATAATTCATTGATAAACAGAATTGACAAAATTAAATTCAAAGAATTCTTTTAAACGTAGAACGGAAGTGGTCAGCTATGTATACTCTGTGAACATGCTGCAAAATCCAAAGGTACACGAATGCATTTTAATGATTTGTGAATATTTTGTAGATGAAATTTTACGCAAAATACGTCTGACTCGGCCTGTTAGTGCCGGTTCTGGGTACTTGGTCGCCCCTGTGCAGAGTCTGCTCTCCAGACCCACTTTTTACCACCCCCTTATTTCGTTCAAATTAAATTTTGGAAAAATACAAAAATACTTCTACTTTATATAGGATAAGATGAACAAGCCCTAAACAAGTGCTGTTTAGGGTCCGCAACAAAATCTGTTTTGTTTTCGTGAAAAAATTAACGTAGCCCTTTTACATGGCAAATTATATGAAATTCTGGTTGTTTGTTAAATTTCTCAGCTTCTGTAAGGGCATCATTAATGAACATATTGAAACATTCATCGCTCCTTTTTTTAATAATGTAATGTTTGAGATTTTTTGAAGCATAGGTATATTCGGCAAAGCTCATTTTTAGGCTTTGAAGCATTTTACTAACAATATCTATCTTTGAAAGCAAACAGTTCAAAATAATTATGAAACATAGGGTTTCCCAAAGTAGGTGTAAATCCTTGAAGGGGGTGATTCCTGGGGTGATTTGAAGCAACGTTTTCCTTAGCGAAAAAAAATACTCCGAGGCTTTTTTAACGAGATATTAACGAAAAACCCCGACCAATCAGAGCGGGAATCTGCCGGCCGAGCTCATGCGGCAGCGTTGGCCTGGGTTAGTTATGGTTTGCCCTGCGGAGGGCGCGGTTTACAGGGGTCACAACCGCGATGACCCCTCGCGCCACCCGCAGGACAACCAGGGCCGAGAGGGTGGTACTGGGGGTAGTACCCTCTTTCGCGGTCGGCCCACGAGAAGACAGCGTCGAGGGGTGACCCCTAGATGCTATAGGTAGGAGGGGGAGGGGCATCCACAGCCGTCCCCGGAGGAGAGCAATAGCCCCCCCCCCCAGAGAAGAGCCCACCCTCAATTGAGGGAGGGCAAGGTCCGGGCTGGTCGCGGTGAGTAGTCGAACGATCCCGTGACCAGCCCTCACACGTGAGAGGGTCACTGGGGGATTTTTAGCGGGTGGAACCCCGCATTGGCCGTCTCCGCCCCCAGCGGAAGACGTGCACCTTCAACAAGGTTTTTCCCCCGTCAAAAAAAAAAAGAAGGGTTAGTTATGGTTGTACCACAAACAAGCAAGGAGGCAGGCATCGAACAGAATTGCATAGAATAGCAAATAAAAAATTAACGAATGAAAGTACAAAGATCAATTTTATTTGTTACGTCTTTTTCATTTGCTATTCTACACAGTTTCCTTCGATTCATGCCGACTTGCTTGTTCATAGTATAAGCACAGCGCGTAGTCAACACTACCGCGGGAGTTCAGCCAACAGTCTTGCGCTCCAATTGGTCGGGGTTTTTCGTTAATATCTCGTTAACAAAGCCTCGGAGAACTTTTTCGCTAAGGAGAAAGTTGTTTCTAATCACCCCACCAAACACCCCTTCCAAGAACATACATCGATTTTGGGACACCCTGTATAAATATTACAACAATCATATAAACATTATGACCGGCCCTATGATGGGTTATTTTACTTGAGAGGCAAGCTCTTTAATTGTTTCACGTATTGGTTCCATTTATTTAATTTTATTCACATTTATAAATTTAACTACGTCATCGATCGAGTCCGTGTACAATCAGTTGTGAATTGACTGCTTAAGAACAAGTATAACTCATCGCGCCAGGTGTAGTTGATGCGTATTGAGCCCGTATTTTCAACAATTAAGTAAAAGCTGGGAAATGAAGTCTCAAACGCAATTTCGTCATTCTAGATTTTCGTCTTAGTTTGACATGTAGAATTCACCATGTGAAAGTGTCCCATACTTTTATTAGCACCCTGTATACGAATGCAACCATAGTCAACTTGCAAGAATTTAAATTAAAAATTGTATGCCTGAGACAATAAAAGTATTGAAACTACAATTGTAAAATCAGAAGAATGGAGTTTCAGTATAAAAATAATCCATCTTTGACTGTGATATTGATTGAGTTTGATTCGACTTTTCATAATATTAAATGTTTTCAGTCTCCTCTTATCCTTCCTTTAAATTTAACCGTAGGGACACTGAGGAAGTGCGGCTGTTGTATTTGTAAAACGGAATCATGATTTTTTTTTACTTAAATTGATTTTGTTGATCATGCTAAGTGTAGTGCGTATAACGTAAGATATTCTAAAAATTAGTCATTTGTACGATGTTTAATAAATAAAAAGAAAACTTCTTCGCCGAACCAATTGTTTTTACTTCAGCCGTAAATAAAACACGAAGAAAGTAAATTACAGTATACAGTGGTCAATGTGAAACGTTACAATTTATATTTTTGCGGACCTTTTAAAACAATTGGAAACTACAAATCCTACGTGATACAAAATATGTATATTAGTACAGTGTACTCTAGATATATTGCAGCTTGTTATATTGAAAGAAGCGATTTCAAAAGCACATTTTTAAAACAGAAATAATTGCGTTATTAAAAACGAATGCTAGCTTTTGAAAGGTCTGGCAAAGAATAAAGATTGGTTATACTTTTTTTTAATTATCATGGAACATTGGTAATTTAATTTTTGTGTCTTTATTTTAATAAATTAATTGAAATATATAGCATGAAAAATGTACGTCTTTGAAATGTATGTGGGATTCATTTGTCCGCATTAAGTAGAACCCAATTCCGTCTTTTTATAGAATCCTTGCATCATTTTACACGGTTATTTTGAACATACCTACGACATTTCTCTATATTCTTTTATTCGATTTACTACACAGTCTAAAGTTTAGTTGAACCTATCCACCATTTTATATTTATACGACGTCTTGTTTTACACGATTTCGATTTACACAATTTTTCATGGAACGTATGTACGGTGTAAATCGAGGGATAGGTTGTACACTTATTATACAATCTTCCTCATCATAGTTTCTCGAATCGATATTTATTAAAATTACAATGAATTTCATTATATAACAGAGAATTAAATGTGACAAACAAAATTTCTATGTACAAAATATGTTAAACATTTATTTCTATTTGTCTATAGAACTTGTATGTTCCATAATTATTTTAAGTATAAGATTTGTAACAGAAATACATAGTATAAACTCCATCGTTGTAATTTGATACCATTTTGAATTTCAACAAATCTTACTGTAGAGAAATTTAACTTCTTGATTGTTCCCCTTTTTGTGAATCTGCCAGATTTTAGGAGAAAAAAGAAATTACACAGACCGATTGGGTAAACATTAATATGTATATTAATCCTTATGACAACGACAAGGACATAACGTAATTGAATATGTTGAACAAACAAAGCGAAATAGGTATACATTGTTTACGCAAGTTCCTATTTCCGGCAGGGCGGAATATGTTAGAAGCTTCAAAAAATTGAGTACCACAAAACAAACGTATGTGTGAAGTATTATTCACGCTGTACACTACTTAAGCACCCAAAGAAGCTTCTCGTATGCAGATAAGGAAACAATATACTTAGTGTTTAGAAAAGTTCCAGTATGGAATGCACTTATGAACGACGTTTACGACTTATGGTGCATGGTTATACATGAAAGTATCGTGTCCAGGAAGGATGTCGTACGTTACGGACACTTTCTTCTTATCGTGCGGCTACTCCTACCGCCGTGTTTTTCAACAAGGAGATAGGTTATAAGGAAGGAACAGAGAATAAAAGAAACAAAAACAGAAACGGAGAAATAAATGAACAGGTAATTTGCATGTTATCCCGATGAATGGAACAGAAAAGAGGAGTTCCCTACATAGGCTAATCCACGTAACTGGTAGGAATCTAGATTCCATTTCTGGTTGCACATAGCAATGACTGGTAGAGAAACAAGTTGAATAATTTAAGCAGACAAATATTTTTGAGTGAATATATTATTTCAGTATGTGTAACGGCACATCTATAATATTCAGTTTGTATAATATATGCCTTTTTAAAAATAGAAGCTTATACAGGGCGAGGCACTAACTATTGCCACCTAAAATAACTTCGAGAGTATGATAGTAGTAGAAAAGTTTTCGAAACAAAAGTTGCATGGGACAACGGGGGCTATTATATGACGTTAGTTTTTTGTTGCTAGGTGGAGTCGCTTCAGAGATTTGAAGGTCAACTTTGTTTTTCTAGATAGAATGTTATGTTTTGGTACTTATTTTCTGAAAGCGGCTATCGAGACAACTCCAATAATGTGCAACACTAAGGTCTTTGAAGGTCAACGAAGGTCATTTAAGGCAAAAAGGTAAAATGAACTTACGTTTACAGAAGGTGTTCAAAGTGATTACCATTGGTATCAATGCAATGCTGCAATCTCCTTATCACGGATTGAGTACTATTTCTTATCACTTCGGCACTTATCGAATCACATGCTCTAACAATTCTCTCTCGCATATCTTCAGGCGTAGTTGGAACTTCTTTATAAACAATGTTTTTCAAGAATCCCCACAAGAAAAAATCCAGAGGCGTCAAGTCTGGCGAACGAGCCAACCACGGTACAGCTCCTCCGCCTCCAATCCAACGATTTGGAAATCTTCTTTGCAACTCATTTCTAGCCACCAGCGTAAAATGTGCCGGACACCCATCGTGTTGATACCACATTATGTTC